AGAATGTGTGTACAAAATATCACATTCCTTGTTAAAAATTACATGTGGGTGTACTAGTGACAAGTAAAAAGTTCTTTTGATTTTAATAGTAAAAATTGACATGTTTCACAAAAATTTTACATAGCTATGACAGTAGACATGTTGATTGTGTGAAATCTTGTCTGACTGATAATAAAAAAGAATTAGATAACGGACCAAACTACTTAAGCATATTAATGTTATAAACTTGAGCAAATCTTTACCTGTAAAAATAATAAAGTTTCTACAAATCTAAACATGCAATCAGCATCCAAATATTGTGTTGGAATGTCTACTGATCTTAATAGAAAAAGGTGACTTATTTTGTCATCATCCCTAATGAGAACATATAAATGGAGTTTTTGCCCAGCAACCTGAATGCCAATTACACCAAACTCGTCACCATCTATCTTACACCCCCTATGTGCACAGTACAAGCCATTGTTAATTTCTATCCACAGCTTCACTTCATCATCGTCTTCTTTTTGTTTATCACAGACAAGGCGAGAACATTCGGCAAAAATTAATTCATAGATTCTTGCATCATGCTTTGCTATGAACATAATATCTGGGCATTTCCCCCTCTTCCCTCTTCAATCTTTGCTAGCAATGCCTTGGCATTCTGCCCTATATAAAGCATATTAATATAATAATAAGAACAATTCTTGATGATAAAAAATACTCACATGCTAATGAATGCAGATTTCCTGAATGGAAGTTTTTTTAGTGCAGCTCGAACTACAGGTACTATGATATCTGTCACATAGGTCCCCTCACTCTGTGACTTAGCAAACTTGGGCCTGAAAGCTGGATTCTTCCAAATTTCTCCTCTATAAAAGCAAGGTATCAATATATAAGAAAATTGTACCAAAGCTTATGTAAACTTAATACTACACTTACAAAACTTCAATAACTCCAGTTGTAATCTTTCCAAGTACCTCTTCTGACTCCATCCAATTTCCATGAAAAAGTTTACAAGATGATTCCTCAATAGCATCATTATTATCCCTTAAACTGTCCACATTTTCGAATAAGGGAATTTCGAAAATTTTATTGGTAAATTACAAAATTCCACCAATCAAAATTAACCAAATCGCACATTAAAAAATTTTATTATGAATATATCAATTTTTAAGGTAATGATCAACATGGGTATGGTAGACTTTTTACAGTTTTACAAAACCCATAATAATAATGGCCGAATTTCTATATATAGATCAATGTATAAAATCTCAATTATCATTTGTTAATTAGAAAGCATGATGATCAGAAAAATTTTTCTATAAAAAAAATTTAATTGTACAAATTTGTATGATAGCCAGTTTAAGGGATAATTATCAAGATGAATATAAATTTCAAAGAAACTGGTTAGAAAACTGGGTGGATAACGTATATAAGAAATTGTAAGTGTCTTTTATTTATTATTTTTTTTTTAACTCCTGTTTATAGTTTTATTGACCTTTGGCATTGGTAGTTTAACATGCTTCCAGATTTCAAGACATGCATTGAATGATGAAACGAGTAGTGAATATCAATATCGAAGCTGGTTCATAAATTTATTGTGCAAGGATATTTTTCTGGATATTAATTCTGTTATTTAGTTAACAACGTAAGTTATTATCTTTTTCCTTTACACTTAGAGTAGAACAAAGAATGCCCATGTTATTTACAACATACAGTACCTGGACAAAAGTTTCGCAACACTTGTTTTTGTTAATTGCGCAAAAATGTACATAATAATCATATATGAAATTTATATCATTTGCGGTTTAGGTACTTGTAAATATTTATGCAAAGTCTCGTGTGTCTAGGTTCCGTAGAACTCGAATAAACACATAAAAATGAAATTCGATTAAGTATTGGCAATCAAAAATTTTTGACATGATGTTTTTAGAAATTGTCCAAGAACCTACATAATTATATGTTTTGGAAATTTTGTATATGAAAATCCAAGTTTTGCTGATTCTGAAAAAGTATTTTTTATCGCATATTTTTTAAGATCTTTTTTTTTAAAAAAAGATCTAAAAAGTTTTCAAAATTTTAAATTTCAAAAAAAAAAAAGTCTAATTTAACTGAAGCTCAACACAGACAAATAGTTGGCCTTTATAAAGTGGAGCCTCATATAGAATTATTTCTAAAACACTTGGCTTCCCACCATAACAGTATATCGTATTAGAAGTCGTCCTAACAATCTAAGAAATCTTAAAGAACTTGAGGCTGCTTTAAAAGAGGAATGGAATAAAATTCCTCAAAATGTTTTAATGAATTTGATTGAAAGCATGCCTAGAAGAATTCAGGCTTGTATAAAGAGCAAAGGATACCCAACTAAATATTAAAAGTAGTTAAAATTTTAAATTAAATTATTACATAGAATTTGGGTAATAAAATAAAATATTTCGCATCAGAAATTTAGTGATCGTCAAAGAAAATTTTTTAATCGAATTTCATTTTTATATATTTATTCGAGTTCTACGGAACCTAGATGCATGGGATTTTGCATAGATATTTACAAGAACCTAAACCGCAAATTATATAAATTTCATATATGTTTATTATGTACATTTTTGCGCAATTAACAAAAACAAGTGTTCCGAAACTTTTGTCCAGGTACTGTATTAAAATTATATATTTTTAATAGTGGCGAAGTTGAGAATAAACACCGCAAAAACCAAAAGGATTTATCAAGGCTTCCTGAAAATAGGTGACCAATAGGCTGGTATCATGATGGAATCCTTACAATTAATGTGAATGGTGCTGATGAATACATTGGCTTCCTTGAGGTTGTGGGAAATTCAATGATTGAGGATCATAAGAAAATGATGGGAGATAGAGATAAAATTTTAAAGGCAATGCAATTAGCATTATTTCAACTAGAACAAATAATGCGCAACAGTGGAATTAATGACAAAAAGAAACTTCAGCAAAATCTTGAGATATTTGGCATCCTAGTTTATAGTAAGTAACGTTTATTGCATGTTTATGGTTATTGAATTTTTTCCATCTAAACTGTGTGTTTTTAGAGCAGGATTTCATTTTCTATGCGATGCATTACTATGATGGGACATAGCATCAGGAAATTTTTCTGACGCGGATTTACGTAATTATTACACTATTTATGTAAGTTTACAGTGGGCCTGTAATATTATGCAAATAAACATACAAAAATTATGCAATTATTACATCAAGTGTAAATATTACATAATTTTTATGCAAATATTACAACTTTACATATTAAAATTTATGGACATAATATTGCAGTGGGGAAAATTTCCTGATGTATCTGGTTGATGAAACTGATCTATCATTTGTAATACCTAATATGCTGATGCAATTATACCTGTTGGAAGATATCATAAAAAAATTATTGGCATTTAGGGTTAGTAATACTTTGAAATATTATTTTTAACAGTCATTTATTAATTATGATTAGTTATGATCTCTCATGAACAGGCTTGTGTTCAACATCTGAATACACGAATAACAGAATTATTAAGAGATATGGAAATTCAATGTTGTTCACGATGGATATCCAGTATACATCACCAAGTTGAAAACTTATAAAAATTCTGTTGAGTAATAGAAGAAATATGAAATTGTGATGTTGTAGTGCAATTGTCTTTTTTAATATTGTATAATGCCAACTTAACAAAATGACATTAAAGCTTGTTATATGATTTGTTACAAATGTATTAGTCATTTTGAATGCATATTTTCTTAGCAATATTAATGTGAACAGATCAAAATCGAAAATGTCTTATACCTGGTAATTTTTGTGTAGGGTTTTTGCAAGGAATCTTTAAGTATAGTAATCGTTGCAGCATTCCCATATATAAAATTTTTTTGAATTAAATGTTTTTTATCATTAGAAAAATAAATCAAATAGGTGACTAAAATGAAATTAGTTAGTTAACGTTAAGAATATATGTTCCAATGCAAGGCAGAATTATTTACCTCATTTCAATGTCAATGAGAAAAAACAATGATTTTATATTCTTAGTAAAAAAAAAGTCTGAACAAATTTTACTGCTTGGTCTTGGTATTATCATTATTCGGGTGATGCAATTTTATGTTATACCAAAATGTATTTTGATTCAACCAAAAGAAAAAATATTTTATATAACATGTTGAAAAAAAAAAAATTGAATACAGCAATGTATAATAATGGGCTTAGAAAAATCAGCGGGGAAGAAGATCCTGTTGAATTTGACTCTAGTTTATTTTATTAATTTATATATTATTTATTATTTTACTAAATCTAATTATCTTTCACTATTCGTTCATCTGATGTTAAAAAAAATTTTTGGTCTTTCCTTACCTTTTTGGTTTTATTTTTTTATTTTTTATCTACCACGTCCATCAACATGGACAGAAGGTGATGTTTTATGTAACATTTGTTTGATTTTTCACACGTTGTTCATTTTTCATCTTGATCACGTATCTTAATTTCGTTGTGTTTGTGATCATTTCATTGACATTTGTTATATTAAGGTTTTCGACTTTATTGAAGAATAACTCTCTTCCTAACTCTTCTCTTGACCATATCTCTCAATATAATCAAAATAACCAACCCTTTAAATACATTTTTGAGTAGTACAATTATCTAATTTATTGAACTGTTTCAATAGTTTGTCGCGTGGTTGCTTCCGACTTCTTAGATTTGTTAATGAAATGATTGTTGGTGAAGTGATGTTGACAAAATGAATCAAACCCATATCTATTTCTACGTTATCAATGGGGATTTTTTTTAGTTTTATGGGAAATTGGTAAAGCCAAAGTCAGTGGGCCAAAATTTTGTGTTCCCAGAACGGTCTCTCCTGCTCACTTGCACATCCTCGATTACAAAACTTGTTATTATTATTATTATTTTTTTTTGAAAAATAGTCCAAGACGGATACTAGAGGTGTTGCTACTTGATATGGTTAGTTCCAAAGGAGAAATGTCATTTATTAACGACCAGTGGAACTTTTTTTTTGTATTGATATATATATTTTTTATATAAATGTCTTATTGAAATCAAAGCGCAGAACGGGATTTGTCATGTCTCTTAGGTAATTATTATAAGGTCCTCTGTCAAGGTGACAAATGAACATGTATTTGCTTTTTGTGACCGTTATTAACATTAATATTAAACAAAAAAATAAATAAATAACAAGATCGTTAAAGACGGGAGGGAAACCGGCTCCTGGACGATTTGAAAACACTAATGATGGATAAAACGTTTAATAATCAAAAGGACCCCTAACTAATAATTAAGGGTTGGTCAAAACATTCAATCGCGCTGTCTTATTAATTAATTACAGTCAAAGCTTTTTTCATGTAAAAGTGTTGTATTATAGCCTCAAGGCCTATAAGCATGCTTAAGATTAGAAAAGCGAAGGTTTTTGAGACTACCCATAGATGTTTAATATAAAATTCAGCCACAAATATTACTCGTGACTAGAACTTTCTAGAGATGACTAATGCAATTGATTCAAATTTCTGATCAGAAGGTGGAACAATAACTCTGAAAATTTTTTTTTAAAATTATTGTTATTATTTGGATATATGTATTTGAAGTTTTTTAATATTAAGATATTTAACGAGAAAAGAAAATTAAGGGTATGTTATTTATTTATAAAAACATATATATTTTGTCATTATTAAGGTATATACAACCGGAAGGATATTGTCAAAACTTGCACCATGAATATATTTAATTTTGTTTATTTATTTATTACTCATATAATAAATTTCTTATCAATCGTGCTTTTTTGCGTTTGTATTCAATTTATTACAGATAACCTTGTCGTGTTGCTATACCTCAACGTGGTCAACAGCTATCAAGAGTTTTTTATCTTTATGGAAAGTGGCGGTATTTGGCCAAGCAACAACAAAGAAAGAAGTAAAGAAGACGACGAAGAAGATAAAACAAATCTATCATATGGTTGCGGGTCTAGTTTGCTCCGAAGGATTCGAGTCAAGACGATCAGATATTGAAATACCTGGGTCAATATTCTGCATAAATTCGATTAGAAAACCTATTATATAGGTTGCTTGTTTAAATATGTGCAATTGTGATAAATCAATGACGCGCAAAGCATTTTGATGATGTACAATGATGATGATAATAATATAATCTGAATTTATTAATGATGATGAAATATTATATTCTGAGCACATCATAATTTCATGAAGCTGCATGCGTTTATTGATATAGTTGCGAGTCTGGTGATTCGAACAATCCCAGGCGTACATATATTCTTGAATATATGGTTAAATGTATACTCAAAAGGTTATCATGCGTCTTAGACAAACAGGTGCATGTGCACGCACCTGGCATGTATACACCTATAGGTTGCTCATGCTTTTAAATGAAGAGCAACGGTTATCGGGTAGATTGTATGTTGGCTTCATATCATGCGGTACCAATATAGTTGCAAGTCTAGTTGATTCGAAAGTTTCAGTCTAGGCGATTCTAGATGAGTACTGTGCACCCTCAACATGTAAACCCATACTATTGTATAGGTTGCTATGTTTAAACGAGCAACGGTGTTGGTGCATGATAGTTTTATGATGCGTGTATAAAGAAATGCATTTTGATAATGCATAAAGCATTCCGATGATGTGCAATAATAATCAGAATTTATCTGATAAAAAAATATATATGCTGAGCACATCATAAATTCAGCAGGTCCGAGGGAGACGCAATAGAACCAGGACGGGGCTTGCCATGTATATTGACTATTGCAAGTCTGGGGTCTAGGCCCCGGGCGTTACAGATATTTTTAAATATCTAGTTACATGTACGTAATCATGTGTCGTTGATATTTTATTTATAAAGTATCTGAGACAACAGGTATTGCGCACATACTTGGCATGTAGACCTATAGGTCGCTCATGTTTAAATGAAGAGCAATATTATCATTTCATGGTAGTCCATAGAATGGTTCAATTTACATCATGCGGTATCAATATTGTTGCAAGTCTAATTTGATTCGAAGGATTCGATTCTAGGCGATTAGATATTAAAAATATCTGGATGGGTATTGTGCGCATACTCAACTTGTAAACCTATACTATTGTATTGGTTGCTATGTTTAAATGAGCAACGTTGTTGATGCATGATAATTTATGATTCATAAAGCATTTTGATGATGTGCAATGATGATAATAATATAATCTGAATTTATAAATGATGATAAAATTATATGCTGAGCACATCATAATTCAACAAATCCAAAGAAGACTACGAAGAAGACTACGAAAAAGACGAAGACACGGTCAAGGCAATGCCACCATGTGTATTGATAATTGCAAGTCTGGAATTTGAGAGACGTTTGAATTTCAAGGTTATAGATATTCTCGAATATCTGGTTACATGTAAGTTATTATTTGTTGTTAATATTTTTTTATAAAATATCTGAGGTAATAGGTATTGTGCATGCACTTGGCATGTAAACCCATAGATTGCTCATGATTTAAACGAAAGGCGGTAGTTGTCGAAAGATCACAGCATTGTTAGCTTTATATCAATATGGTTGCAAGTTTTGAAGATTCGAGTCTAGGTAATTAAATATTAAAATATCTTGATGAATATTGTACATATACTCAATTAGTAAGCCTATACTGTTATTATACAGGTTGTCATGTTTAAATTGATGTATGATATTTTATAATAAATTAATGATGCATAAAGCATTTCAATAATATAATCATAGCTTATCAATAATGATAAAAATAATTTTACAAATTCAAAGACGACGACGGCAAATAAGAAAAAGTCTCGATGACAAAGATCCCATCAGTTTATCAAAGGTTCAATCCTGTTATCCTAAGGATTTCACAATCCAGATCCACCTTGTATCTCATTTTTTATTAAATGAACAGTATCTGAAATTTTCACCAGCAATAATCCTATGTTATAGATTTATATCATACAAAAAACTTAAAAAACTTAAAAAACTTAAATTTAGTCAAAGAGATTATAATCATATTGCTAGAAAACCAAACATGATGGAGTCCCGTTGTAAAATGTAACAAAATAAAATTTGGAAAATTATTAATTGAAAATCGAAAGATCAGTGTAATGTCGATCACGGGGACATTTTATTATTACTACTGCCCGCTACTATTTCTTAATATGTCACTTCTATTTGACTCATTCATGTCTAAAAGTCAAAAAATCTTCGTAAATGTTTTATTGGATGGATAATAGGAAATGATGGTGATAAAAACAATATAATTATGCGAAGCATAACCCTGGACACGTACCTATCCATATCCGTCCATTATAAATAAATAAAGCACATGAATAATTAATTTATTATATACATATCTATTAAAACGAATGAGATGACAATATTCCAATCAATGCCATATTTTACATCTACTTGTAAAAGTCTTTCTTAAAATTGTAATATAAACAAATAGTTTTGTAATATAGTGGGAAATTACTATATAAAAAGGTCCTTCTCGCAAATAAGCCTCATGGATATTCAAAAGACCTCCTAAAAACTTAAAGTATAGAACTCAAGAACTACCTGTAAATTGATGTGATATGTCTCTATCTTTAATCTAACAGATAGTTTTTCTCTAAAAAAAAAATATATTTGTTGTAGAGTTCCATTCTTTCTTAGTACATTTATTTTACTATTGTAATTATATTATTTTCCTTGAATAAAATTACTTTCTTAATAAGAAAAGAATTTATGGTTTATGTATAGTGATTTTAATCATGAATAAAAGTCGTAAGCATGTTTAAACAATAACAAATTTTATTCGAATAAAACGAATCAAGATTGAATTGTATTACGGATAATTCGAATAAGAATTTGCATTACAAATAGAAACTCTACTCCACTCTTATAAGAAAGACCCAAAATATTAATATAAAATTTTAATTAAACGGTTGATCGATTGTACTTTCACTTGGTTAAAAAGTGACATCAAAATGGATGTAATTTTTTTGAATTCTCTCAGATAATGGGTCCAAGAGGAAATATAATCAAATCTATTTACAGATTTTTGACGATGAAAAAGTTGATAACGATTAATGTGTCAGTTTTTGATACCAAATAAATTTTCAATAGATAAAAAAATACCTAGATTTAGGAGTGGATTTAATATTGTATATACGTTATTATTATTATATATAGGGATTTTCTTTATTGTATTTGTATTTAAAAATGAAACACTAGATAGTATTAACATTTCACTGGTTTAAATGCAGATATTGCGTTAGCAGAAAAACGAAACAACAAAGCGCGATACACCTTTCCAAAAAGAAATGGTAAATAATTAACACAATTCGAAAAAAAATATCATAGAAAGAAAGGCGTATGGATATTTTGATAAGGATGGTTGAAATTTATTTTCTTTATCGTTTCATAAACATTTGGAGTGGAACGTTGGGACGGGTTAAAGCTGGTCTTAACAAAAATTGTTTGACATTAAAAAGTTTATCTAGAAATATTAAAGGATTCCCAGGGGAGAAATATGTTTTTTTATTGATTACTTGTAATCAGTTGAATCATATAGACAACAAGAGGATTATAGGATGTATGAATACTTAATCATTTGCTGCATAGAAACTATGTAATTTTGGTATTGCCATAACCAATTCTTTTTTTTTTAGTTCTTGTAATCTCCACTGCCATTTAATAACCCATTAAAATAAGGCTGAATTCAGTTGCTGCGTCACGCGACCAAATAATATCCATTTTTGTAAATGCCCTTTGAGGAATTGTAGACAACATAATTTTTGATAAAGATATTTCTAGTCTAATATATTTATTGCTTTAAAATATAATACAGTAATAACTTATTACTGTATTATATTTTAAAGTAGGGGTTGGCACAGTTAACCGTTTGTTTAACCGTGGTTAACCGATTAAGATATTTTTTTAACCGGTTAATTCTTTTTGACTAACCAGTTAAAATTAACTGGTTAAATTAACCGGCTAACCACCATTTATTAAATTTTTTTTTATATATTACAATCAAACCTCGTCACAACGGACCTCGCCACAACACATTTCTTGTTATTGATGTAACATATGTTTGATGATCAATAGTCATGGAACATCACAATGAATTGTGTTTACTGATTCACCGAAGCTTTCAAAGTACAAGAAAGAGGCAGTAAGCAGGATAAATTCGTAAAACATTGTATATAAAAGCTTGCAATTAATCGACGAGTGTAACTAAAAAGTTAATTCGAACTCGGTCATGAAGCGTAAAATAATCGAGGTTGGTCAAAAAGCTACATCGCAATATTAAAAACATTTTATGTTAAAAAAAAAAAAAGCTTAGGACTTTTATAGGACTTGAGTCCAGTCCAGTTTTAAGATAGGACGCCAGTCTAAGGACCGGACCGGACGGTAAGGACTGATTAACATCTCTAGTTAACAATAGTAATGCGGTGATGGTGATAATGATGGTGATGACGATGATGATGATGATGATGATGACATATGATGCATCAATTTATGTTTTTTCTAATTTTTTTTTTTCAATAAAATAAAAAATGTCATTATGTATTGCAAGTTAAGTATATAAGCAGTAATAGCCTACATATGACCAATAAATTTTGTACATTATATTCAGTAAAACCGTTCACGTGTATTGCATTCATTGGAAGCGTCAGAATATTCAATGGTAGTTTAGATCCACCATTATTCATTCTATATAATGGCTTATAAAATGATGACAAGGTGTGTAATTGGCTCCAAGCATATTTTGCACTTGGTAATATTTCTCTTTAACTCTTCATTTTCTTCTAATAACAATTGATTAATCTCCATTTCGATATATAATTTCTTTTTTAATTCTGATATATGTCTCTTTTTATCAAGGGCTTCTTTTTCTAAATTTATTTTCTTTGTTATTATTTATCATCGAGGAAGGATGAACTAAACTCCTTTAAATAAATATTGTACATATATAATTTTGTTTTGTTTTGTTTGGGAAGCAAAAGAGGTTACAAAAGGATCTAGATGTTTTCCTAACAATAAATCATATGATATAAATTATTTTTCCTTTGGTCTTTTACTTGAGTTACTTTCATTTTGCTCTGTAAAGATATATCTTCTATAGTATTTAAGTTCTTCAATACTTTCTTTGATGTCTCCCAATGCACGATGAACAAGTTTCTTTGGTGGCATATTGTTAAAGATGATAGGATACCACCGTCTACATAACTCTTTAATACTACTAACATCAATTATACGATAATGCAAATAATCAATAACTTGTGGCATTTCTTTTTTCAAAAATATTTTGTCTGCATGAACACTATTCCCTGCGAGAGGTGCAGTTCCTTCTGGAATATGTTTTTTTAGGAATTCCAAAATTTGTGATGCTGCTTCTGATGTTGTGATTGAAGAAGATAATACTGCAGATGTAAGTCCAGACTAGATAAATAAGTTTTTGCATTAATATATAAACATATGTATGTGCTTTTCTCTTCATTCCTTTAAATCAAATCAAATATATTTATATTTAATAAAAATTTTATTAACCTCTCCATGATGTTTCTTACACCAATCATTCATATTATCCATAATTTCTTTTGATTGATTAACAATTAAATCAGGTCCCTTAATATTATTATTTATCGATTAATGAATTATTATTATAATTAATCTTTAATAATTATATAATTATCAATTAATATATTATTATTATTATTTATCAAGGAACTTTTTATTAACCTCTGCAATTATATTCAAGTCTCCATCAGTAATTAATACAGCCACTTCAATTATATGATCTTTATCAATATCCAATCCTGTCATCTATTTTCAAAAAAACTATTAATGTCAACGTCGTAATACTTATTTATAATATATGAATACTATATATCCTTACCTCACAATCAATCCATACTAAAGCATCTTGTTTACTCATTGTTCAAAAAAAAATTTTCTTTTTTTGAAATTGCTTTAGTGTTACACGGATTATTTGATTTCTTTAGAAGAAAAACAATTTGAATCAAACGAATTAAATGCTTTCGCCGATAATTCCACCATTTCGTTATGCGACTGTTGAGGATGAAATTTATCGTGGTGCATATCCAAAAGATAGGAATTACCGTTTTTTAAAAAGGTTTTGATTTTATATATAAAAAATTAAATAATAAGACATCGATTTTTTCTAGAAAGGAACGTATATTTTCTAATTTTTTTTTTCATTACCTTAGATTAAAATTAAAAACAATTCTTTCATTAATACCAGAACAGCCAATTCCTGACCTCTTGGAGTTTTGTCGATCTCAAAATATTCGTAACATGCATTTACAAGTCGGCAGATTTAAAGATAATGTGACATTAAGTTACAGTAAAGTTGTTTATTCAATACAAGTAAAGTTTTTATAATTATTGAATAATTGACAAGTAAATAAGTTAATAATATAATATTAATAACATTAATAATAATAATATTATTATTATTATATACTATAGACGATAATAGATCCATCAAATCAACCTATTTTTATTCATTGTCTAGATGGTGCCAATGTAACAGGTTTAGTCATTGCATGTTTAAGGAAATTACAAATGTGGAGTGTTTCTTCTGCTATGGGAGAATTTTTAAGGTGAAAGTGAAAATATTTTCACCAAAAAATAATCAACTATGCTTATTTATTCATATCCTCCCTCTTTCTTTCTAATAGATATCTTCGTGGCGGAGTAATATCAGCTGAAGAAAGTGAATTCATTGAAAAATTTTCAGCCGAAATTGAAATACCACGTACAATTCCTTCATGGCTATGGGGTGGTCATGTAACATTTGCAAAACATCCAACATTAAAGCTAAAGTTTTTGGATCCTACTATGATTGAGCAACCAGAACAAAAACAATCCAAAAAAAAAAAAGGCGTTGAATCAATTGATGATAAAAATGATTTCAGAAAAAGAGATGATGGTAACAAATTTTATCCCATTACTACTATTTTCTATCTAAAATAATTTATTGATTGTTTTTTTTTTTTTAAAAAAAGCTAATGCAAACGAAGATGAAGAAGCAGAAGTATCTATGACACTACAGGCTTTGGCCTTGGAGGGTCTAAACATTAAGAATCGATAGGGTGGGTAACATGTGTGTATGCTGTATGTGTATATTTATGTATAAATGATTTTGTAATGGGTTATTTTTGTTTTCCTAAATATATAGGTGCATCTTTAGCAATTGTATGCTCCCTTCCACTAACCATTGTTTTACCAGGACCTATTATTTTTCACATAATGGATAAATTTCCTTATTACTTTCTATCAAAATTTCAAGTCAACACTTAACTATGAAATTTTTTAAAATAAAATTATTTCAGAATCACAATAGCAATAATTTTTTCAAAGGAGTATTGTAAATATCTACCTCTTGTGATTTGAAATTTATAGTGTATTTTTATTTATCAATAAATTTGATACCTATAATAACAAGTTTTGTAATCGAGGATGTGCAAGTGAGCAGGAGAGACCATTCTATATTTCCCGTACCACTGTTTACTTACAAATATATATAGGCAAACAACAAATTTAATTTACAAAAAAAAATCAAAACCCAAAATCATACAATCTATCCCAAGTAAGGAAAAAAGCAGTGTTACGGGTTTTGAGTAATCTTTTATAAGTGTTAAATAATAATATAATCATGGTCACGTTGACTAAAATTTTTGAAACCTTGAAATCTTTTGTAGTATGTATGTTCACTTTGTCTGGTTTTGTTGCAGTATGTCCCATATTATAAAACATGTTTAAAAAAATTTTTTATTCATTCTTAAAAGTAGTAATATGAGTATGGATGTTAATTTGCTTCGATTGATTAATATTTTTAATATCTGCTTGAAACGCATTTCAATCATGCTTTTAAAGATTACATCACACCATAAATAGTTTGATTTATTAGCAAAGTATGTTTGAAGCACGCGCTCAAGAAAATTGCTTATATAACTCTTATTAATCATCTTTAATATGTTTCAAATCGTTGAAAAATTTAGATTTTACAAAAAGGTTGTCATAAAAATTTCACGTGATTCAACAGCTAGGGGCACCCAATAAACACTATTAGGTTAAAGATTGATTATTTGGTAGTTATATTAAGGCTGAGGGTCTGGAACAATATAATGAAGAAACTGTCAACAATTATTACCAGTTCACAAGATAGATAATTTGTAAAGATGTAAAGATGTGCAATCATCTTTTTTTATCAAATACAAACAAACAAACGCACGAAATTATAACATGAGCTATTTCACTTTACACAATACATACAATATAAACACACAAACACTTTTTTACAAAAAAAAATTTTATTTATAATAATTTATAATTCATGTCCTTCAGTGCAAAAGCTGCCGTCTGGCTTGAAGCAATATGAAGTTTTTGAAGCAGATCGCGCAACTTTTGGTCCCTGGCATTTGTCAACCTAAATGGTGTTAAAATCTATTTATTACATACACAACATTTAATTATACTCACAAATGTGCATACATATTTGCATCATTTGCTTCAGACTGCTTCAAACCAGATTGCAGCTTTTTGTCGCTGGCATTTGTCCTTTTTTTTTGGTTTTGCCAAAGGAAAAACCACCCGATTTTAACCTTTATAAGAGACCATTTACAAGCGAGTCAAAAACCACAAAAGAACAGCTACATATTTGAAGAGTTTAACCCTAAGGGTATAAAACGTAAACTTAAAATTTCAAGCAATGAATGGAAACACACCTTGCCATTTACAGGATAACTAATAATATGGGCAATCAATGTCTCCCATCTTTTTTATTAAAACTCTTTTTTAATACACTTTATTTATTTTATAATTAATATCTTATATACACAAGCACATGTTTGGAGAAAAAATATAAAATATATATATGGAAAATAGAGGGAGGCCAATGAATCTATGTCAAAAGGAACGCGATCGATATTAATAATGAGGAGACCAACGATTTCATGCCGAATGACATATTATAGATTTAGAATAACCATAATATCCATCAGTAATTGAAATACTGAGCGAGTAAAAAAAATCAATTTCTTGTAATTTGTTTTGACTACTAACGACAGAAGGTTAATCAAAAATCCAGCTCCAAAAAAGAAGGTTTTACAATTGTTGTTGGTCATGAATAAATGCAGTTGCCTCCATGATTAAGAAAACCTCACCTTAAATTAAATGATCCATCCAGGCAAGAAATACGACTCAAAACGAATCGAATTCCAAAAACTGGATTGGTTCGATTTGATTCGAATCAAACCGGATCCCTAAAATTTTAATTGATAAAGAATTTTAAATCGATATTAAAATTCTTGTTTGTTGATAGTCAAATCTCATTTCAACGAATCTAAAAGTAAAATTCGTTATACCAAATTACTAATCGCGTTGCTTCAACGAATGCAAAAATTTAAAATTCGTTGTAACGCGAATTTAATGGATTTAATTATAGCTCGTTGAAACGAGGGTTTGTATTGCAAAATTCATTGTTTTAAATTTAAATAATAAATGTAACTATTGAATGACTATAATTGCATCGTTGAAAATGACGCCTCTTCAACGGCCACAGTGCAATCTGTTCAAAGAAAAACGAGAAGTAAAGTGTGGTGCCATTTCACACAATTATTGCACTAGGTAAATATTTTTTTTTTTGACTTTCTAAACCATTTATTTCCAAAGGCAACTGATCAAAATTCAAAAACATGCGATTTTAATGTGTAACAAAATAAGCAATTTGAGAAATCGTTTAATATTTCCCTTTGGCATTTATCTATTTTTTGATATCAATAATTTTATCATTACATCTATCTATCATACACTCCCCTACCATAAACATCTGACCACCTTATGATAATTTTAATAATCGAAAATGTTACGCCTTATGCAGTTCGAAATTTTATTAATCGAACCGGGACTGGTGCATTAAGTAAACATGATTTTTAAAGTTAATTTGCATATAAACTTAAAGTCTCGTCGAGTTTGCATTATTAATGAATTTAGGATGAAAATTTTAAATTAGACAAAAAATTCCGTGAATTTTATGAAAACTTTGAGCTTAGTAAAAACCTTCAAAACTCTGTTGAATCATGTATTACGTCATTAAGTAAGTCCACTTAAAATATCTTGAATTATATATGGTTAAAATTTGAGAAAATTTGATCAAGTATAGACAACAAAACGTAAAGCCTTAAAATTTGCATTCTGTCAACTTTATTAAGCGTTTTATATAATAAAATTACGGGGCAGTCGAATACTTTTCTAAACCTTTTTCACGAACTAATTTATGCTAACACCATATTGTGGATATATGTAATCTGTTACGTTGAGCACATTTTATTAATGAAATAATATACATTACAATGAAGAAATTTGACCGTTTCCATTAATACCATACCGAACCTTTCGAAGCTTTTGTAATTTAGAGATATTGATATCAAGTACAAGTCTACTTGGTAAAGTAAAAACGGTTTTATTTAAGAAAACGTTACTTTTTTAGTAAGGACTCTTTTCATTTAACGTTACACGACTTGGGTGATCGGATATTTATGGTAGGGGAGTGTATATATCATTTATGTGGGAGCATATGATAATAAAATAAATTGGTGATCAAAATTTTGAATATGGTACTAGTTACACCAACTCAAAACTTGTTACTGCTTACAATTTTTTTATATTTATAAAAATTGTTAAAGCTTTTATCTCTACCATAACAATAGTAATAAAATAATAATGCCACCACCACAAAACAACGAAGCTCAAGATAGCAATGAATTTGATAATATTTCAATGGCAGTTTTTAATTCTGCAAAAAATTATCTGTTACAAAAATTGCCAATTCAGTTATCAAAGCCAAAAGTTGCAATTATATGCGGCTCAGGTCTTGGGGGTTTAGCTGATAGTATTAGTAGTGGTAGTAATAATAATGACTATGATTCTAAGAGCAAAAAGAGACTTGATGGTGATGATGCAATCCCGAAAATTGAATTTAAATATGAAGAGATACCAGGATTTGTTAATAGTACAGGTGATTACCAATCAATATTAAAAAATTATATTTAATTAGTTAATTAAATATATATTATGTTAATGTTTTATAAATTTGTTAAACATAGTTGCTGGACATGAAGGAAAATTGGTTTTTGGGCTGATTGGGAAAATACCAGTGATTTGTATGGTTGGTAGATTTCATTTTTATGAAGGCCATGACTTGAAACAAGTCACTTTCCCCATAAGAGTTTTTAAATTGATTGGAGTAGAAACTTTAATTGGTAAGGAAATAAATATTTATATTAATTTAATTATATATTTTTTATGATTTAAGTAATAAATAAAAAATATTAATATAAAACTAATTCACTTACTCTTTCTTTCCCATTCTTTTCTCTCACGTGCATTCTTTCTTTCTAAATCTAATTAGTAACGAATGCAACAGGATCGCTCAATAGTGAGAAATTTAAAGTAGGAGACATAGGTGTAATAATTGATCATATCTCATTACCGGGACTAACAGGAACTAATCCTTTAATTGGACCTAATCTGAATATTGGCCCAAGATTTATTCCAATGTCAGATGCTTACGACTATGAATTACGTGAAAAGGCATTCAAAGCTGCCAACATATTAAATTTTTCTAAAGGATCAATAAAAGAAGTGGTCTATTGCTATGTGTGTGGTCCAACTTATGAAACAAGGGCAGAAGCAAAATTCTTAAAATTTATAGGAGGAGATGTTGTTGGTATGTCAACTGTGCCTGAAGTGATTGTTGCAAGGCATTGTGGTCTTAGAGTTTTAGGATTGAGTTTGGTAACCAACAAAGTGGCTATGAGTGATGTAAGAAGCGCTGATCCCTCAATAAAAAATGTTGGTGCCTATGATGAATTCATTGTAAATCACGAGGAAGTTCTTGAAACTGGTAAAGCTAAAGCCAAAGAAATGCAACAATTAGTAAAGAAAATTATCGAATTACTTTGAAATTACTTATTTATTATTTAATTTTTGTATATGTGAAAAATTTTTTTTTAGATGTGTATATACATACATACATACACGCACATATATATATATATTATATATATGTTCAAATAAATATATTTTTATTGATTATGAGGACAATCAGACGATAAGTTACACAACAATTTATTTATTTCGAAAACTTTTTTTTTCAAAAAAAAAAAAAAACCAATGAATACCGATTTTTTCTTTCCTTTTCGTGTTGTCGACATAGATGGCAATAACGTTAATATTAAAGAGCTTTCGAGTCACCACGTTCTAATTTTAATCACGCTGAAGGTGTGTAATGAAAAATTGTTTTCATTCACATTATTCACAAAAATTATTTATTTATTTTCATTCACATTATTCACAAAAATTATTTATTTATTTTCATATAATATTTAAAATTAATAATATGATATTTTAAAGGCGACGTGGTGTCCCGTCTGCCCTAAACTCCTACTGCTCCTGAACCTTCAGGGGCTACACGATGATCCACAACCTTCTTTTTTCGATCCTTTTGACAACTCTATAACCAGAGTGCCACAAAAAAACATACCTGTAAGTTTGAATGAAATTATACTATTATAAAAAAAAATTATTCATCAAGTTTTCTATTATGTTTATAGTTTAACCGATTGCTCCTTCGGTCTGATGCCTATTTTATTATTATCTGTCCTGGCCCTTTAGATGAGGTCAAGAAGATAAGACAAGAATGCAATTTCGATAAATATCCATATCCGTTTATCGTTGATGAGGATCTTGCTCTTGCAACTTCAATTGGACTTAGGTTAGTACATACATATACATACCATACATGTGTATTTATACATATACTTATGTGTATATATCCATAATAATTTATTCATATATTATTATTATTAAAGAATGTCCAACAATGAGATATGGCCATGCATTGGGTATATTGAACCACTTACATGTAGATTAAATCCAATATTTTTTGGACGCGGACCAGGTTTCTATGGTGACAAAGACCTGTTAAATTTTTTGAAGGAGCATCGTATCCAAGAAGAAAAAACAGCTCTTAAATCTATTCGTAGAGCCAGGGAATTACAAATGGGCCTCAGTAAATCAAGGAAAAACAATATAACCAAGAAAAAAGAATCAAAAGAACTAGAAGTATCAAAAGCACCAATTGAAGAAGAACAAAAAGAAGAATCGTTGACGATGTTAAATCAAAACCAAATTTTACCATTAGAGATACTTGGAGTTATTTTCGAGTATCTTGACTTGTTGGAGATAGTAAAGACCGTTATGGCTACATGCCAGCAATGGAGAGAAATCGGAATAAACATTATTTCCAGACGGTTAAGGTGCGAAATAGAGCGCATATCTGAATCTCTGGTCTATTTTTCTGGTACAAATCGAAAAAATAATGATGACGATGATAATGTTGAAGGTATTGTTGAAAGTATGAATTTAATAAATATCAATAGCCACAATTACAACAACAATAACAATATTAAGTTAATTAGTGTTCATGAGCTCAACAAGATGGTGAAAGATCTCCACGAAATAATTGAGATCTCTCAACGTCTTTTAATTTATTGTGACTACAAGCAAAAGTTATACTAATGGTGTTTACATGCGTACATATCGATATTATTATCAAATGTTTTTATAATATAATAATAATAACAACAACGATGATGATGATGAATAGTATTTAGTATTAGTACAGAAATTAGTTAGATTTTCAATTAAACATTTATAGACGTATACATTTGTTTATTTAATTGCAATTTTTTATTATTTTATAAACCTAATATTGGAAACAATATTTACTTTAATATTTGGATCCGGTTCAAGAAATTGATTGACTTTTTGAACATCTAGAATTGTTGTATGCAATGCAATTGAATTTAATAAACACGAAAGATGTTTGGATGTGGAATTCCTTTTGGTCGATTAATTTAATTTCACATATGTGAATTGCAAATTCATATAGATTTCATTTTCACGCACAATAGAGCCATAAAGAAACTATGAAATATTAGATAATTATTTTATTTCTTTACATAATGATTGCTTTGAGCCTCTGTTTATATAGTCGAGGCTATTATTCGTTTTGGTCCAATTCTCTTGGAATCAACTTTTTTGGAAAATCAAGTTTGAATTTTAACTATATGACTGTTTTTTTTTAGCATCATGATATGCTTTAGATTTTTAAATCGCTCGATTTGGTCTATATAAATACTGAAGCAAGCACACAAGTAACAATTTATTTTATTTTGTACTTTTATAGATAATGTGTTAGGGCGGGACGCGTGTATTTCAGCAATAATTGGCATTTCATAGCAACTAGCTAGGCATCGAATTGTTTATATGTCATCTCATGCGATAATAAATTCAAAGCACCTGCACTTTTATTTGAATAGTGATCGTTGTTCAGTAAAGTTTAAAGATGACGATAATGGTTTAGTTAGCATGCAAACGTTGCTAAAAATGTTTAATCATCTCATATTTAAAAAATCCAAAAATCAAGCCTCGCATACTATGTAAAAGTTACTCTACTGTCGGGTAGGAATTAACTTGCCTGTGTATATATCAGACACAGATAGTAGGTAACCAATTGGAATTCAAAAATTTGTTGAAATAAAGCGCATTTTTGTATTTTTAGCTTTTGTCTTTAAAAACACGACAATAATCAATATTATGTGCTGCCTAAACGCGACACGTTTTTGTTGTTTTTACGCTACGTAACCTTCAAAAAAAACCAATAAATAAATATACCTTGCGTGCTAAGTAAAGTTGTTCAACGGTCAAATAGATTAACTAGTCTAATTGTCTTTTAAATAGACAAATAATCAATTTTTACTATTCCTAATTTTGTATGAATTTATTTTCCTTGGGCTTTAATTTATATTTTGTGTATGTTGATCAATATAACCTACTACTGGAGACATGGATATTGATGAAGAGCGTCAACCATATGTCGCATCACCTCACCACCTCCCCCTTATCCTGATGAAATCAAACTTCTACACTCAAACATACTTGATAATATTTGTTTTGTTTGATTGGTATCAAACCAATGCAAATAAATGCCCATAATCCTGCCTTGTGTTTGAAAAATTACAATAACATCACCAATTCACTCACTCATTCAGGTAAAAAACAAATCATTCAATAATCATTGTTAAGCAGAATTTTATTTTTGTTTAAAACAAATAGACATAATCAATAAATATTTATAATATTTTTTGTGAAATTTTTTATGGGTTGTTAATTGTTCTTCACTATAAAATTTACAAAAACTAACTCTATAACATAAACCAAAAAATTGATAAAATAATCAATAAAATAGAGCAAAGAAAAATCAAAATCAAAATCAAAATCAAAATCAAAATCAAACAACTCACTGGTGATAAAAATCTATAAGAGGATACAAGCACCTATTTGATAAAAGACTGAACTGGACTCAAAATTTTCCTTGGTGTTAGTAAAATGGTGATTAAAATCCACAAGTCGTTTAATGTGAATTGTTTCCTCCACCGCAAAAAAATTTCTACCAATGAAAAATGAACCTAGAAGGAAAACAATTTTAATCCTTCCCTTGTGCATGAATAATACGTCGCCGTTATTGCAATACTAAGACCATGTAGAAACAAACCTTTCCTTTAAAGAACCAAGTCACATAATACTCTATGAAAAAAACTGGCAGAGTGGTAATTTCCGTTTCCCTTAAAATGAACGGTCAATCACAAGTGTGTACTGAATAAACCATGGTGATTTCATTGGTCCATTCATTTCCTTATCACCCAAGTGGCAGTGGAAAGATTTTTAGTGACCGAGTCTCTACTTGACTCCCTTTTTTTTGTGCGCGTGTGTACGTGTATTGTGTATTATATGCGCTCTAAATGTTGTGTGTATGTTGTGCATGTTTCTCGATTACATGCAAGCTGTAAAAATCCCCCAAAAAATAAAAAAATAAACCTGATATTGATCACTTTCCTATTATAAACATGCAATCGCACTCTCATAACTATGAAATTTTTTTTCACGGGCGAGGAAATCAACAAGTTGGAAGGCTCTGGACAATAGGGAGAATTTAGCCACTGTCGGAATTGCCGTGGCCAAACAATTTTTTTGTTTTAAAGAGTCATCCCATTGACTTGGATACAGTGATTCACTAGTGGTGGTTAGCCAATGGCCAAAATAATTATTTGTCCATTTTTGGCTATTTTTGTCAGCCAAACGGCCAGACGCTAGCACTGGCTCCAACGGTCTCCATGGCAACGATGAAACTTGAGGGCCGCGCTATCCCCAATTTAATTGCGTCGTCAGGTTAACCTTGCGTAACGAGGAACAAGAGAATGATTGAAATGGTTGAGCCCCAAAGTAATACACTTCAACATCTATCCGATAATCAAACACAAACTTGCATGTTGAGTTGCTTCTTGGTGTTTCCAAATTGTCAAACACATGCGATTTTCCAACAACCTTTCTTACCCCAGACATTTCTTATAATCGTATATCAATGCTTTGGAAGTTAAATTTATAGCGGCTATTACAATACTAGAAATAGAACTTGCCTATAAAATATTTATATAATAATGGAACTTTAATTTGGCAAACAGTATGTTTCATGAAAAAAACTTACATTCAATTGACGCGTATTAATAATACCTTTAAAATATTTAAGTAAAGCTTCAAATATAAGGATATCATCTTGATTCAAGGTCATTTGAGCATTGTTCTAATTGCAGGTTCAAGCTTTAAAAATATATTTATTTTCATTGGAATTAAATCCAAAAAATATATTTTTAATAATGTCAGATGGATGTTTATTAAATGTTTCAAACAAATCGTGATCTTTAAGTTCAAGGTGTTCAATCTGAATCTCAACATAATATTCTTTGGCTAATTCACTTAACTTTATATATATTGATTATAAGCGTGATAATCGATATAAAAACACGGAAAATATAATAATAATAAGTGCGATTATTATTGTTAATATTACTATTATCCATTTTAAATATATATGTACATATGAATAATTTTTTAATCTTAATCTTTAATAAAAATAAAATAAACTGTTCGCCAAGTCGAAACTCATAAGTCTTTGTTGCGTGAACCTTTTGTTTATGGTCTATTGCTAAATTTAAAGAAAAAGTATAAAATTTTCCTTGACCTAACGATATACAGATGCCATTATTTATTTATTATGAGATTTCAAAAAAAAAAAGAATTTGGAGGTTTTTACAAAATTCAAAATGAAAATTTTATTAATATATATAAATTATGAAAATATCTTCCAAAAAAACTTTTTTAATTAAATAATAGATAGCTATAAATCTTCTTCGTCTAAATCTAATTCAATTATTCCTTCATTCCCCTCCTCGTAGTAGTTATTAGCTACAATCTTCGTGTTATCACTTACTGACTCAATGTTTATTTCGTTCTGGTAATAATTCACATAATTTTGATTGCTATCATAAGGATGATTTTTTATAAAATGACTGATGTTGCTTTGACATTTTAATAATTCTAAATATTCAATAATATTTAATAATTCACTGTCATTTCCATCGCAAAATAATTCTCGATTAAATTCTTTTAAATGTATTGCGTTATGAGGCTGTAATTGGGCTTTAAGTGGCGAATCATCTATTAATACTGTATTAGTCTGATCCCATAATATTGACGATGATTGTAGTGATAGCGATGAATGTGGTGGCGGTATAAATGGTGATGGTTTTCTTTCTGAATTTGACGATTGTATCGTATTTTTATTCATAGATGTGTTTAATTCATTCCAAACCATTTCCAAATCTTTTATTGTTAAACATTTAGAATGATATTCTTCATTTGTCAAGTTAAATTTATCTCTAGACCAAATTTCAAGTAATATTTCACCGTATCCATTTCCAAAAATTTCCTTCGCCATTCTATTTACATTAATTCTTTGTGCTGATGACCAAATCATAATATTAAAATTTTTGTTTCGAAATAGAAAATTTTTAAAAGCCGAAATGTGAGGACGTAGATGAATCAGTCTGTGTTCGCCATCACGATAAACCAATGTACCATTCAGATCTAATACTATAAGCATCGGCGGAGGTTCCTCAATTCTAATGGAAGGTTCCAACAAGATTTGATTATAATTTTCAGATCGTTTTTTTGCTGATTTTTTTATAATATCAAGTTCTAAATCTTTTTTTTTTAACGACGTAGTTGACATTTTTGTTGATGGCGTTGTTGTTAATGATTTATGATTTTTTGAGTAGTCGTCAAATCCATGTTTTAATATTGATGATGGAGAAAGACTTTGTTTTCTTATGTAATCTATAGATCTATGATAGCTGGGGGATCTTGACCTAGGATAATAGTATGTAGAATATTTGTTGTCACTTTTAGATCTTGAATGTGACAGTGACGGTCTTTTGTAACTCTGTTGTAATCCATCATCATGTCTTATTATTTCGTGATATCTTATTTCATCATGTCTTCTTGTGTTTCTATAATCATTACCACCATTACCATGTAATCTATTTTTGTATATATTATTTGGTCTAATATAATCAGAATCATAAGGTATATTATTATTATATAATTCTTTATGGATATGATTATTATTGCTATTATTATAATTATTATTATTATTATATAATTCTCTATTATTATTATTATTATTATTATTACTATTATTATTATTATTATTATTATTATTATTATTATTATTATTATTATTATTATTAGTGATAATATCATGTTTGGGCTCTTCAGCAACTGTCTCACGTAATTTTTGAAATAAATTTTTTTTTAAAGTTGTCAATTCTTTAATCTTTGTAATTATAAATGCTTCGTCAACATTACCATTATTGTTGTTGTTCTCTTCATTCAGGATTATTCTTGAAACCTTTTCATTGCGATCTTTAATTGTTGTAGTATCTATTTTATTAAATTTGTCAACATCTTTATTTGATTTTTCATTTTCTTGGTTTTTAAAATTTTTATTATTATTACTAATATTATTATTATCGTTACTATTACTACTACTAACACTATTATTGCTATTATTGTTATTACTACTCATATTATTATCATAATTCAATGAACTAAATGATGATGATAATACTTCAATTAAATTTTCTTCTTCATCAGAAATATTATTATTATTATTATAAGAAACTGTCAAAGGATTTTCAACTTCACCATCTATTATAATTTTATTTAAATCATCATTATTCATATTCAACATGAGTTGATTATCATCATCATCATCATATTCACTATGATTATCACTACTAATATATTCACCTTCTTCCTCTGATGATAAATACTCTTCTTTATTATTATTATCATCATCATCATCATTATTAACATTTTTGTTATTATTATTATTATTGTTGTTGTTGTTGTTGTTGTTGTTGTTGTTATTATTATTAGTTAAATGTCCATTTGTTAATCTATGATTATGATTATAATCATGACCTCTAGCGTTCTTATTATTACTATCATTGCTAATGTAGTTGTTGTTGTTGCTGTTATTGTTGTTGTTGTTGTTGTTATTGTTGTTATTGTTGTTACTACTTATA